TCCTTGCCCTTAGAACAGACTCCTGTATAAGTGGTGATTAGTGTAGTGTCTGAGTATCAGGTCTCCCCTTCATGAGAAGTATTTTTCCCATTTTACTGACCAGGAGCTAAGACGCAAAGAGCACACCTACATGAGCAATTAATGTACACAAATAAACTTAAGAGCTTATTGCTCCAGAGGTTTTTGCTTCTGGGCATGCTGTTTGAACATGTGCCTGGGAACAAAAAACTCCAGTGCATACTGCTTTGGAGTTTATTCACACGTAGCACGTGGAACCTGGTCGGAGCAGCCCGGGCTGGCAGGCTGACCACCCCAGGTCCTTTGCCAGCCCAGGCTGCTCCAGTCGGGCTCCACATGCTGCAGGGTAGCTGGTTGGGGTACAAGGGTGCTTCAGCATAGGGGCTGCCTGCTAGCTAGAGCTGCACTGAAGCACCCTATGCCCCCAGCCAGCAGGGGCAGCATCTACACGTGCACTGTTGCACATGAAAATACTCTTTGTATTTGACTTGTAATAAAATACAAGTACTACCCTGCTGCAGAGTATGTTCGCTTTGTGTGCCCTAATATGGGCACACGTGTAGACATTGAGACATTTATTGCTCAGCTAATCAGTCAACTGTTCAGTAAACATCCTGCGTAGACATGCCCAAAGAGATTAAATGATTTGCCTGTGGTTTGACTTCCAGTGTGCCAAAGATTTGACTTCCCAGAAAGTCTGTGACAACGTTGGGCACCAAACCCAAATATCTGTCTTCTCCTTCACGCCTCTTACATTTAAGCATATAGCTCCTGCCCTCTGCAAGTTCCTTCATAGCATGTAATGAAATAGGCTGTCACCTACAAAAGCTTATGTCTTAAGGTGTCACTCTGCCCTGCCTTATACTTGACTTCAGACTAACATGGTTAAATACTCTGCTGTAGTGTTTCTTTGTGTTTGTAACCTCCACATCTGTCAGAAATCTTTCTTTCCCCAGGTATTAATCTTTCTCCTCCTTCTGAATTACTACTAAGGTCTTTTCTGAAGCAGGTCATAGCAGCATCTGAAACCATATAGCCTCTATTTGTTCCTATGTTATAACCAAAGAAATGAGTTTATCCGTTTACAGATCTGAAATAAATGTATCGAGGCTGACGACTTCAGTGGCATGTTTTAACATGATGTGATTTCAAACAGCTGATTTAATTTCTTAAAAGAGGTTCAGAATGGAAAGGCTGACAGGACCTTAATTATAGGGTCACACCACCATAATTATCAAAAGCAAAGTGAAATAAGCTCTGCTCATCCAGTTCAAGGAGCTTAATAGTCACTGGAAATCTTTCACAAATCATTTTGTCTCTGCCTCTTGAGGAAGCAAAATTGAGAAAGTGCTTTCTGCTTCAGTCTGTTGCTGAAATTATGATAAATGGATTTCCTCAAGAAACACAACACGGCAATTCTCTTCCTTAAGCATCCTTTTAAATCTTTCTTTTAACTTGGTAAATCCATCTGTTCATTTCCCATATCTGTTTATAGATTTTTCAGTTATAATACAATCCAAACCTTGTAAAAGACTAGTTGGTGGAAGCTGCAACCATCTGACTCCCAAGCCCCATAGCTCACTGTGTTTTTGATGAGGCAGAAATTAGAGTGAAGCTTTGATTTCCAGACCACAGATGATCACTGGGAGTCGGGTGTTGTTCTATGCAGTGTGGTCAGAGCCTAGCAGGGAAGTACTTTTTGTCATTTACTAGGTCTGTTCCCTTGTCAGGGAACATGAGTTGGAATTAAACATCCCTCTTGGACTAGAAGAGACCATTACAGATGTGCTCCCCTTTCTGCAAGCCCGCTTTTCTCATCTGTAACATCTTGGCTGTGTCCACCTTCAAAAAAGAAAGGTTGGCATCCTACTCTCAGGGGGAAATGGGAAAATCAAGTGGGACAAAAACATATACTCCTGGAGCACACTAGTTTTTCATCCAGCTCCTTATCTGAGTAGCATACATTGCATAACGCTGATCTTGATACAGTCCAGGCAGATGATTGCAAGGGGTACTTTTGTTTTGCCAATGTTCATATAACATCCTGAGCTGCTGGAATGAAGCATTACCTTGATACAGCCTCAAAGGGAGCATTCAGTTACTGTATTAATGTAACATATTATTTGAATGATTCTCCCTGGAAGATTTCTCAGAAGAGAAAAAAGAGACTAAGAGTAATTGCACGAGATCTATTGTGTTCTGTATTCCTCAGGTCAGGTAGAAAGCTGGGGCTAAATAAATAGGTCTTTGTAGATCTAGGAGGAAAAGCAGTTGGGTTTACCTGGTCTCTGAGCTTATCACTCGTTATTTCCTATACAACCTCTTTACTCAAAGAAAGTCTTAGCTTGTGCACATTTTAAGACTTTTCTGAGACTGAATAGCTACTGCTCTTGCACTGGAAGTCACAGACAAAACTTCACACAGAAAATAAAATCTCCATTTTTTCTTTCTTCTGAACAGCACCTTTTTCTAGATGTTTCAGTTGATTTATGATTATTGCTTGTGGTTTAATGAAAAAGTGAAAGGATCCTATGAGAGTGCTTTTTAATAGTCCCAGATTTGAGAAACATCCTCTACTCAGCAAGCCTGATAGTAATTGTTCAAAGAATTTCAGGCTCTTGTCCCTCCCTCCAGGGAGCCACCAGCTCATATTTTGTTCCCTCTCTGCCCTACTTTCTGGGTCTCAACATGTGAAAAGTAAGAAGGAAAAGGGGCAGCCATCTTTAAACAGCTCTCAAAGATGTAACGTGTTGTCCATAATATTAGTAGTTTACTGCTCAGTGAAGGATAATCTTAGTGAAGCTTCTGTGAAATGTAGATAAGTAATTGAGGCTTTAATCTTTCCTTTTTTTAGTGAAAACATCCATACAAACTGTAATGCTTTTTAATTTACACTTTATTCTTCAAGAATATGAACCTTCCTAAAGCCTTCTTTCTCTTGTTAAGGTTTTTAATGGAAGCATCATGATGATTTGAACAAATAATGTACTGTGTGCATGCAAACGCACACGATTGGAAATAGCTCAAAACATTTGACAATTTTAATGCTATATGAGATATTCTGCTCCTATTGTTAAGGATCAGAAGCATAATGTGCTAAACTAGTAGTATTCTCAGCCTGCAGGCTTTCAGATCATTTTATTTTGATGCTTTGTTTTGCTGATCTTGACATAAGTCCAACATTTGTTGTTTGCATCGTACATGAGGGACTTTATTTTGAAAAATTACCCACTAGTGCAACTCAATCAGTGGTATCAATGGTAAGTGTGGTAATGTAGACAGCTCTTCACGCATCTGTTTAAATTTTAACCATTGTGCCATCTAACCTTGCACAGAGCATGCCTATGTATAGTTGTACTTGAAACACACTGGCAGTGACTTGATTTTGGTGATCAGGTGTCTCCATTGGAGGAAACTATAAAGCAATAAAGAGCTTTTTAACTTCTCAGAGAAAGGCATAATAAAAACAGCTGGCTGGAAGTGAAAGCCAGGCCGATGCAAATGAGAGAAAAGATATGATGTTTTAACAATCAGAGTAATTAATAATTGAAACAAACCATCAAGAGGTATGGTGTATTCGCCATCCCTTGAAGTTTTCAAAGGAAGACTCAGATGCTTTTCTGAAAGATACCTTTTCATCAGCAAGTTTTTGGGCCCAGTATAGGAGTAACTGGATGAAATTCTAAGGTCTGATAGACAGGAAGTCGGACAGGGTACTATAGTTGCTTTGAGAGCCGTTCAGGGGTGCCACACAATGTTAGCACAGTTAGGTGTGCAAACTTGATACACAAGATAAACTCAGAGATTTCAAATAGATATTCGTAGTGATAGAGACATCCTGACCTGTTGTGGTATTTCTAAGTTCTTTGCAACGGAAGAATTGCTAATTTTCTATAGTCAAAAATAAGTGAAAACCAAGAGCTGGCATTTTCCAAGAGATGCCTTGAGTCTAAAAAGGTTGAGAAACACTGAACTAGATGATCTTGTGGTCCTCTCTGGTCTTAAAATCTATGAATGAGAGCCTTGTCTGGACAAGCAGTCCTATTATTGCTACCACCAGTGAAGATGTCACGTTGGGATTTTTCTCTATAAAAAGGTTTGCATAGATCTTCCAGATCTAGGTCAGTGGTTCTCACCCTGCTTACATTCAAGGCATCTCTTGATAGACTCAAGGCACCCCTCAGAAAATGCCAGTTCTTGGTTTTCACTTGATTTGTGTGACTACAGAAAAATAATAGAGCAATTCTTCTGTTGCAAAAGCTCAGACTGCAATAGCTGAGAATGTTTTAATACTATGGATTCCTATTTGAAATCTCTGAAATGTATCTTCTGAATCATATTTGTACATATTTGCTAACATTGCATGACACCCCACAGTACCCCTGAAACGATATCAAGGCACCGCAAGATGCCAGGGCACCCTGGTTAAGAATCACTAAGTGCTGCATACTGTCATAGACAGCCTCCTAGCTCAACCAGTTCACAACAGCATAAGTACCATCTTAATCCAGTTTTTCCTGTCATTTCGAATTTTCCAAAATTGCATTTGAAACTCCCTTCCTCTTTCTCCTACCTCTCTTCTTTACCTCTTCAGCTCCTTGGTTCTTGCTATCAGGTGAGCTATTCTGAAGGGAGAGGAGCTGATGGAAAGATTATTCATTACCTCTCTTAGCTAAACTAGGTTTGGCACTTGATGAAATTCTCATTTCCTAAGAGGATATATGAGAGGGACACCAGCTCAAAATCTCAAGAGAATTAAGCCTGTAATGTTTATCAATTAGCCTTACCAAGCGAGACCAGTAACTATGGAAAACCCATGCACTCAGGTTGCTCAATTAGCATGCTAAACAAACACAACTGTTGGAAAGTGTTTCATCAGTATGCAGGTCACATCTTACATATAACTAAAACATCAGTGGAGCTCAAAGAAAATTATTAGACACCTTGCATCAGATTACAGTACTGATCTGTTTGTGTTACAGGTGCTAAACCAGCCCCAGGCATCTGCTTTGAGAGAGTCAATTCGGCAGGTGATCCTTATGGCAACTGTGGCAAGGACTCCAAAAGTTCCTTTGCTAAATGTGAACCGAGGTAAGACCTCACTTTGCCCTCAGAAGAATGGCTGTTATCAGGCAAGCCAGTTTTTGGATCCTTTTAAAATTGTTTAAATCTTTTTTTCCCATCCAGAGATGCCAAATGTGGAAAAATCCAGTGTCAAGGAGGAGCAAATCGACCTGTAATCGGTACCAATGCTGTTTCCATAGAAACAAATATCCCACTGCAGGAAGGAGGCAAGATTCTGTGTCGTGGTACTCATGTGTACTTGGGGGATGATATGCCTGATCCTGGTCTCGTGCTGGCAGGCACCAAGTGTGAAGATGGAAAGGTAAGATTCAGAAATATTCCCAAGCAGCCAGATTCTCAGTGTACAAAAGCGGTGTTGCAAAGTTCTGTATTCTAAGCCAAGAGCTGATTTTGGTTTGTACAAAGAATTACGTTTGTTTCTCACCATCTTTCATACTCATACTGAGCCACATTTTACCCCCTCGTTCATTTGGCCTCTTTCTGAACATATAGTTTTGCAGATACAGTGTCAGTCATGTAGACATAAATGATCTCTGAGTGCACTCAAGTACTTATTATCCAAGTAAAACTGATACTTCCTGGAAAATAATTTTAGGAACAGACATAAAGGCCAGCTACTTAAAATCTGGTTTGTGAAACATATTTATTTGTGAAATCTAAAACCAGAGGTTAGGTTTATAGTTTGGTTTGTATGTTGGTTTAATTTAGGGTTTGTTGTTTACACAAATTAATAGGCTTTGATACTTAAGCCAAAAAACTGACTTACCATGAGTTTCAGTTACTTCTTGAATGCCCATTCAGAGTAATTGTTTTGTGTTTATGAATATGGCATGCAAAACATGAAATGCTTGTGAAATTTAGGCAGTTCCACAAAACTCATTGAGTCCATAGCATTGCCTGTTGTTTTTTTTTCAAAATTATTTTTAGCCACATACAAGCTTCAGAATAAGTTAATGAGTTCGGCTGGTTGTCACACACACTTTAGTACCTCACTTGAAGAAAATGCTGTTCATGTAGTTGTACCTGGACCTGGAGCTGTTGCTAAGGTAGAAGGTGTCTTTGGCCTGGAAAAGCAGCTTTTCATTTCCAGCAAATATGTTAACTAATTTTTTTGCTGTCACCAAACCTGATTATAACATATTCACATTTTGCCAGCTTTGATGATTGCCTTGCATTGGGTTAGGCCAGCTTTCCTATAGGCAACTTATTCAGGCTTTTAGCTGAAGGGAGAGGAGTAGAGAGTAAGAAGGAAAATGATTGTTGTGCCATTGAAGGATTGAGTTGAAGGGAGCCCAAACTGCTGTGGGAGAAGGGGGTTTCCATGCTGTTGGAATGGTGTGGGCAGACAGAAAAAAGTGGAAGATCCAGAGCATTTGGGTAAATTCATCTGAATGTTTTGGAGTTCTGTTGACACATCTGTTAGGCATTTTGGTATCAGATTTAAAACATGTCTTGAAGAATTACAACTATGCTACAAGAAAACAACGCACATAACCTCTGTCATTCTGTTATAATCATTCTAATCTGCCTAATCAGTCAACTACACAGGCTAACATTTAAGAAATAATATGTTTTACTTTTAGTATATTAGTGCATTTATATTTTGGATTCTGAATCTGAAGATATTCTTTTTTTTTTTAAGATGAAGGCACCCCTTTTGAAATGCAACCATTTTAATATGATCAGAATTGTATGTGCCAGTGCATGCTCACTATCTGAATGGTGAATACTGCTGTAATCAGGATATATTCTCTCCATGCATGTATGTTGATGCCAGTCCAATCTAATTTCCTTCCCATTTTTCCTTCCCCCAGGGGGTAACTGCCCTGATTAAGGACCCCTGTCATCTCCTGCATCACTTTAATCCCTGCTTCATGCTAATTATTTTGACTGACTTTTAGTCCTACTAAAATGGAACTACAGGGGAGCAGAAGCTATATATACTGAGTTTTCAAATGTTGACAGAACATACTAATCATTATTCCAGGCTTAGCATCTTTTTTTCCCCAATCTGAAAGGGATAAATTTTCATTATGATCATCTATATCAGTCCTTTCAATTCGGCTGGTACTATTTATTAGCTGCTGTTAACCTTGCTTTATCCCAACTTTTAGCTATCTAAAACTCCATAATGATTACAAAACAAAGAATGTGTAAAAGCTTTTGTCCTAGGTTAATGCTGATTGGTAATTTCCTGTAAAATTATAATTTTACCTATATTCCATTTAAAAAAAATCAGCTTGGGAAACTTCATTGTTGGAATTGTCCAAATATAGCAGATGAATCAACACTGACTCATATTTTTCAATCCATCCACTCTTAAAACATTAATTTATAGACATCTTGGGCCATAATCACCACTAGTTCAAATCAACGTAGCTCCATTGCTGTAAGTAGAGGCATGTCAAATTACATTAGTTGCATGTCTACCACACACACTTTTCACCCAGAAATGAGCCTTCCAAAATGTGGACACATTTTAAGCAAGGAAGCTGATTTCCATGCCAGTGTAGATATGGGGATGTTGGGTGCTCCACTTCTGACAGTATACAGGAAGGATGGAGTCCCATCATCAGCATCACTCAGCCTGTGGCTACAGCTAACACAGCTCAAAGTTTAACCCTGTCACAGCTGCTGCTGAATCGGTTAAACCAGCCAACAGCTGCTGCCAATTCCTGCATGCTACCAGCATTCAGCCTGGGTGAGCCTATTTAGTGGTAGGTGAGATTCTGGGGGGAAAAAGGTTTTCCTTCAATCTGCTTTCCCAAAACAAGATGTGTTTCTTGTTTTGGGGTGTGTGGTACATAAGTAATACAGCTTTAATTGATATTTGTTTGGAGACTCACGGCCAAATCTTCAGTCAGTAGAAACAGGTGCATGGCCACTGCGGTGGAGCTTTACAGTGGCTCAGGTTCTGGTCCTAGATATAAAATGCATCTGAAATTCAAACTTGCAAGAACCTGAATGTTAGTCAAAAGTGACATCTGCTTTTAAGCTATTGTTGGATGGAGTATGGGGCTACAGCTGAAGGCTTTATGAAAACATAGTAAGGGATATACCTCCTATTTGGTTTCCCTCATAGCAATGTAAATCAGTAAAATCAGGCTCTGCATAGACAAATTAAATACTGGAAAAATGCTCTCATAAGGATGTAACACAGTATGTTGTTTGCACTGGAATTTTCTACCACAGTATTAAAGCTGTTCTTCGTGTCTTGTTTTGCAGATCTGTTTAAATCGCCGATGCCAAAATACTAGTGTATTTGGAGTTCATGAATGTGCAACAAAATGTCATGGACGTGGAGTAAGCATTACAGAAATATTTTTTCCTGTTAGTCAAGAGCCAGTTAAGCAATAAATCATTCATTGTAGTGCCATTTTGAATGATTCTTTGTGATCTGTCAGTCAGTCTTTACAGCATTTCCTTTCACAGTTATCAATTTTCTGTGCCCTTTACACACTGCAAGAAATGAAAGGATTTTAACACAGAAAAAGCTGATCAAGTAATAATCTTTTTTTTTAAGTTTAACACTGCGATAAAAAGAAATGTTGTCATCTTTAGAATGGTTTCAAGCCTAACACTCCTGTGTGAAGGATTTCCCATTAACATTTCAAACAGAACTGTTTCTTTGTGGTCCCAGCAGAATTGTAATACGCATCCTAACTGAGGTATTTTAAAAAAAAAATTCCAAAAGATTAAAATAAAAGAAGACAAAACCACAATGACTGCTGCAAACAAAAATTACATGTGAGAAAATTGAATTTTAACAAACGATGATATCTTTTTCCATTCACAAAGATTTTGGAGACAACTAGCACCTAAATGTTTTAAAACACAATTTATTTTTCATGGAAGTGCTAATTATTTCAAACTGCATCATATTAATCTTGATTAACTGCCCTACCAGTTCATTTGTTGCTATGAAAGTCTGTGCCAACAGAAATCAAACTTCAAGCTCTATATGAAACTACAAATTCCCTTTTTGTAATTCATGTATAAACTCATAGCTTGTTTTGTCATGCTGTGTTTGAAAAAATCAGCATTGTCAATGATAAAGTATCTTGTCACCGTGCTGAAATGAGCATTGACTTAAAGATTGGCATCTTTGTGCTGTGGAGAACATATGGTGACTTCTAAGTAGCAAAACAGGAACTGGCACACTTGTAGACAGTAATCCCTGTAGAGCTTTAATTTCAAGACTAGTGTAGAAGAAATGTTTAACTGTTTTCCTCTGTGAAAAACAAACTGGTTGTTATGTTTTACATGAATCTGGAATGCTTCTTGTAAACCTACTATGCGAGGAAGCTTCGTCTGAGTAAATGATTATTTCCTCGGTACCATTCAGGCCTCCCAAATATAGCCTTGATGAAAATATGCCAATTGGATTCCCCAGAAAAAAACTAAGTAGAGAACTCATGTGTCCTAAACTGACTGCTGTACTGCAAAACCCTGTTAATCAATCTGTTGTCCAGTTTTCAATGGCAAAGGCTTCCATACAGCAGTAAGGATGAGTGTTAGCAGACCTAAATACCCAAGTGGCAACTTGCCACAAAGCCCATGAGCTAACTCAAGTCAGCCAGAGTGCTAACGTGCAAGTCTGCCTGCAGCCAAACATTTATCTCATTCAGTTAATTTATAATAGTGGCAAAACATGTGTCATTGTCTTCTGCTTTAACATCCTGGCTGCACTTCATGTGGACACCGAGAAAGGGGAATTGCCCCTTCTTTGGTGATTTTGCAGGGCCTTGTTACACCTTACTCTGTGAGCCACACACATGTTGATCAGTGCTAGGGCTTGCTTGGAGTTTGGAGCAGTCACACCCTTAATCTAGAAACCTTCCGCTTGCCATTAGAGGCCTGGGGAGCAGGGGCAGGACTAGGAGCTGGAGCTGCGAGTTGCCACTGGAGGGGCTGGTGAGCCAAGACGGGCTTCTATCCCTGATCTATGGATGGGGGTGTGAGAGATCCTGGGATACTGGAGGACTGTAATTTAAGTGGCACCTCTGTGTGGAGTGGCCACACCTTAATGGAGCTGGGTAGTGCGGATCAGAGATAATCCTGCCCTGGAGTGGTATAACTTTGAGCCATGTAACAAATGCTCAAAACCTTTAAGGTGTTAATATGCAGATAATTCAGGAGTTAAGAGCTCCAGGAGCCACCCAAAAATTGCTGTGTAGCAAGGCCCTTACAGTTCAAGTTGTTAGCTACCATATAAACAATGACTTAGGTTCTACATTACTATTTGGACAGCCACTGTAAGTATCAGCGTGTAATCCATGTTGTGGCAACAGACAGATTTCAATGAGTCCTTGTTGTTATACAAGCTTTAATTCCAACTCGTGTAGTTCTGCTCAACTGAAAGCTCCTATTTCCTGACAGGATTTAGTCACAAGTGCCTGAAATGACTTCCGTATTTGTTTATTTGTCTTTGTTTTAAGGTCTGTAACAATAAAAAAAATTGCCATTGCGAGGCTGAGTGGGCCCCTCCCTATTGTGACAAGCCTGGTTTTGGCGGCAGTGTGGACAGCGGACCAATTAGACAAGCAGGTTAGTAACAGCTGGTTCTCTCTCATTTCGATGGCAAAATTTTTTAAAAAGCTTAAATCCAAAATGGCTTTCTTGAAAACATGAATTGAGACTGCAAAACTGGAAAACAAGTCAACCAACTGGGCAATTTCATCCAAACAAACTGGCACCATCTTAAAATTTAGCAAAGGAACAACACAGCCATTTTTATTGCATAACTGTAAACACAACAGCCCCAGTGACATTTCTGAATGTTCCCTGTTAAGTTTGGTAGTTCAGAAACATGGGGGCAATGGTATACTGGTCTGATCGTAGGATTCGGAGCCATGAGGTCTTGTATTCTAATCCTGACCTATTGGGTGGATTTGTAGAAGTTACTTACCCTTTTAATTGCTATAAATGTCTACAGTACACCAAACCATAGTTCCAACTAATTGTTTAGTTCATATTAGTGTGTCAGAGAGAGATTTAGCCCTATTTCTGGGTCAGTGAGAGGCTCCAAAGCATCTTCCATTGATTGTATCCTTAAGGGATTGATTTTCAAGTGTGCATTTGTACTGTTGTGCATGCAAAGCTACATTGACAATCATGTGCCCAATATGGGCCTAATTTTATGGTGATTACAAGTGCAAATTCAGGGGGCCAGGCATCTTTGCATGTTAAGAACCGCTTTGCAATCACACGTGTGAAAACCAAGACCTCTGAATATGACAAACCCAAAAAACTAAGTAAATTTGATACTGTGCCTTTATAGAGTTGTTTTTTTAGTAGAGAATTCATGAATACATCAGAATGAATCATATATATTCATTAATCTTTCACATATTTTTACAAAGTTCCCCTTGCATTTGATGATAATGGAAGATTTATACTTCCTTTAAGTTCTGCATTCAATTACCCTATGAGCAATCCTTGAAACATTGGCTTTTGCATCCTATGAGCAAAAAGAGGTAGTTACCCGTCTTCGTGTGAAGTCAGGCAGAAGGCAGGGTAGATTTACACCTTATACACTAAACGGAGATAAATAGCATGAGCTTTCATGAATTCAAACTCACTTTGTCAGATGTTGTGAAAGGACATGCACAGAGCAGTGTATAAAATAGAGTGATTTCAATCCAAAATACTGTGATTTGAATACAAATATGTATTCAAGTGACTCTCTAAATTTAATACACTGTTCTGTGCATGTTCTTTCACAGCATCTGATGAAGTAAGTTTAGGCTCACAAAAACTTATGCTATACATCTCTGATTTACTTAGTCTGCAAGGTACAAATCTACCCTGTCTTTTGTGTTCTGTTTCACCTCTGACCAACCTGCGTAGGGATTCTTCCTCTGCAGATGTTGTAACTCACAGGGTTTGATAATCCTCACATACCAGTTTTTCTCCAGAATACCTCAACTTTAATGACTTCAGCAAAATTACTTTTGATTTATATCGAAGTAAGAGGCAAATCAGTCCATAGTCTATTCACATTTGCATGTATAGCCTATGATTTGCTGGGAAGTGATCTCAGTTCTTTTCATACAAATAATACTACTCAAAAATAAACTGGATTGTATTCTCGATATGCTGGATCCTGGAGTGAATTGTAATGCTGAACTTGTGACATCATAGTCATTTCCATGACAATGATACAATATTACAATTTCACTGCAGGATGCAGCACAAAGATGATGTGAGGGAGAAAGAGCTTTTTCAACCCCCCAAGCAGCTGATAAAATAGTAAAAAAAAAAAATCATGCTCAGTTCTTGAGAACATGATTACCTAGGTCCAAGCATTGTCACTTGTTCAGTTACTCTACCATAGTAGTCCCTCTTTAGCTCACCTTGTATCTATGTGTTACAAGGAACTACAAAATTTGAATGACTGTATACATCACATAGACTATGTTGCAACATATAGCACTAGTTATAATACATAATTCTGAATTCTATGCTTTCCCATTTGGCCCTTTAAAATATAGAAAACTGTTTCTAAAATTGTATAATACTGCATGATACTTTTGCCATCTCTATGTAATGATAGTGCCATATTCAATAATATTGGGAATAAGTAAATACAGAAATTGTTAGAGGAGCTAATTTTCCAACCCTGCCATTTGAAGTTTAAATATGAGCAACTGATGGAATAGTTTGGATTATGATCTGAGTATTTTGCACATCCCTAAATCAAACTGCAGAAGGATTAGCTAAATAAAGGACAAAAATACATTTATCTTAGTCAAACATGGCACATGGTCTGATTAGTCATTAGTAACTGATTTTTACCCTGCTGACTTCTACTAAATGCCTGTACTTGGCATACTCATTCTTGATAATATAAATTTATGTAAATATGTTAAATATGTAACAGAATTGTTATGGAAAGATGAATTAATTTTAATTGCCTCAACTTGAGTTACCAATTTTATTTAGCTTTCAGTAATGGAAAGTGATACATTGCTCTGCTCCGAGTTAAAATGCTTTGAATACTGCTGCTGCCACCCAACTCAAGTTCTGTCTTATTCAAAATAATCAACACAGTGCCTATTTCATTGCCCATCCTCTGACAGAAGATGGGGTATAGATGAGAGCTAGCTGGTTGCAATTCAATCAGGACAAAAACTGAAATAACAATGGCAGGTTGCCATGCAAAGCATACCATGGCTGTACTGAGGATGTGTGTCATACATTGTTACAATTTTCAGTCTTGGATGATCATGTAACTGCCAGATGTGACAGATTTTCTTTCTCTCTGTCCAAAGGGCTAACTCCTTTTTTCAGATACAAACCTGGCTTTCAAGATTAATGTTTTTGTTCCTTCTGGCTGCAATTACAGCAATGCACACTTCATTAAAATGGCACTTTAAGTCATTCTAGAAACTAAAGGTAGCGCCTAAGGCAGCAGTCCCCTTGTTAAGTGATATTACACCATAAAGAACATTGCTTGGTGCCATTGCTTTAGGCTCCATGTTGTTAGTCAATGGTTTCCAAACTGAGTTTAACATGTTGGCTTTTACCTGTAACGCTCTAAATGGCTTCAGACCTTTTCAACTGAGCTGTACCCATGCCATGCTGTCAGGACAGGAGCAGTCAGCTGTGAAATGTAAGCTAAGTCCCCCTTAATTAACAAACAAAAAAAGGAGAGAGCAGCTAAAAGAGTGGAGGCTTGGTGGGAAAAAGGTAAGTGTTCAGGTTATTTTCTAATTTGGGGATGAGGAGAAGCTGCAAGTGTTATTGCTTATTGGACATGGTGGTACTATTAACTTAGGGCAAAAGCCACCCATTTATTTGATTCCATCTGGTGTTACTGAGGTCAGGGAGTATAACCACAGTGACAGCAGCTGCCAGCCTATACTGTGAAGGGACCAACAGTGGGGACTAAAATCCTGAGTAATGTAGCTCAAGTAGTACTAAAAAAATGCCTATTCCATAGTGTTTTAAATAAACAGAACCATCGGTGATCTTGTTATTTATTTAAAAACTGGACCCTTCAGGGTAGGAAATGTGCTTTTTTCCTATAACAACTGCCTCTTACAATTGTCATTCGCTTCTGTTTGATGTGGAAAAAACTAGTGAACCAAGACTTGACAATTGTGCTATCAACCATGGAGTTCTGAGAAGTGTTTCAAATTGAAGTGAACATCTAAACTATTGAGACTTTGGATTGTTATTGCTGAATACCACTGTTATTTTCTGTTTATTGCACCTCTCTGTATTTTTTCCAGTTTTCTGCTATGTATATTTGTAATAGACATGACAACCACTGATCCTTGTGGATCATGGTATATGAGTGAGAGGTCACCCAGACCTTCGAAGTGTATGCCTAGGCATGAGTACGGAGGAGTGGAGACTGCCCAGATCTTCCATCCTCCCTTAGACCACTGAGACAGAATCCAAAGGCCAGATTTGTACATTTGAGTAAAAAGCTGAGACTATCAGAAAGCAGCTATATTTTAACCATTTATTTTTGGAGTTGACAGAAGCAATTAAATTACTTTAGAATGGATTAGTCTTAGAAGAGATAATTTCAGTTCTCTAGTAAATGATTTCCTAACTTCATTTGGTATGTAGCTCGAAGGCAAGTCAAGACAGCAGTGTGCTACTCTTGACATCACATATTTCACTATAACTGACTCCTGACATAAGTCAAATAAATGTTTTTTGTTGCAGATAGGAAAAGTTTAACCATAGGAATACTGGTAACTGTTCTATGCCTCGTTGCTGGTTTAATAATGTACCTCAAAAGGATGACTTTGATTAAACTGCTGTTTACAAGTAAAAAAACAACAATGGAGAAACTAAGGTATGACAATTATACTTATTTTCATTTTAATAAATATTAGTATAAAATGATAACTGTTACACCTCTTATCCCTTATGTTCATTACCTTTGTTCATTATGGCAAGCTAGCAAGTATGATGGGACCGCAAGAGTCAGGTTTATTAAAAGTATATCCATTAAGATGGGTATGTCAGTATTCTTTCTTGTTCAACTTAACTTCACTGACGGTTCAGTAAATAGAGTGGGCTTTGACTAAATCTCTTTCTCTTTTGTGATAAGCAATTAAAAAGTAAAGGAAGCAATGCCTTGCTTTTGGTTTGCTTGAAATATTTTCATTATGTGAGGTGGCCTTTTATCTAAACTCAGTCAAGTGAGCTGAAACTTCTGTATTTGAGGTCATTACTGCTTAAATGCTAGATTCATTAGAATAGTCTCTTGGGTGTTATAAAACTGCATTTCCACAGATTGCCAGAGCTAATTTAACAGACTAGTGGTTTCAAAAAAATCAATATTTATTTTTATTCTTGCAAGCATGTTAGATAATTTTTACTTTCCTTGTTTACCATAGAGAGCAAAAATAAGAATGCCATTTTAAAGCGTTACTCTGAAAAAGGTTTCTGTGAAAAAAACCGTGCTAATCAGAACTATGTTGTACTCAGTAAGTGTATGCTTGTCTTGCAGGTCTGTGAATCGAGCCAGGCCTTCCAATTTATTTGAAACTAATCACATCCATACCACAACTGTCAGCAAAAAAATAGACATTAAGCCACAACATTTAAACATACCTAAGGTGGGTTCCTAAATAGTTAACACCTCATTATTACAATTAGATATCTATTTTCCGTATACTTTTGAATTAATTTACTGTGACAAAATTATCATGAATTATTACATTTATATAGAACTACAACCCAGTAAAACAAAAAGAGAAAATGCAGGTCCAAAAATGCACACTGGTTTCCAAGTTCCAAACAGATGGAGACCTCACATGTTGAATAGAAATACATTTAGTCTCTGGGATACAGCCAGCCCTCTCAGGTAGGAATACTGCCTTCTAAACAGCAAAAGATTAGTGTTTGAATAGGATTCTAGAAGCTGTTAATTGCATAACTGCCTGTCCTCTGGCTACAGAAAAAGAGGTATAAATGAGTTAAAGCAGGGAAGAAAGGAAGGGAAAAGCAAATACAAAATATGGATGACAATGGGATTTAAAGCAATGTTGTTTGTATGTATAATACTGGTTGGCATGTTTTCAGCTACCATTGACTTTTTCATTGTTTTATGTTTCTGTAGAGAGATGGTCCAAGAAGATTCATGTCCTATCAGACCACTGACATTAGTAATCCTGTAAAGCCACATGATTTACCACAATCAAAAATACCACAGAGAGTGCTACCACCCCTTCACCAGTTGCCTTTTCAAACTGTACCTGCAAGGCCTCTGCCAGCTGATCCTTCTCTTAGACTTACCCAGGTAAATCTTGATTTTCATTTTAAGAGGATTTTTAAAACTTGGTATAATAGGTGTTATAGTAGTACTAGCTATTCTTCCATCAGTGAGGAATTTTAGAATATCATAGAATGGATGATATTTTGCTTCACAGGTTTTATTTGAAGGACAACGGATATTTACAATAAAGCATCATCCTCATTTGTGCTTTTTGAATGGAAAGATGTTACATTTGTTTATGGTGCAGCACACAGAAAACACCCTCCAAACATGTGCTGAGCCGGGGCTTTTTTTTTCCCCCAAGTGTTGGGAGCTGGGGCAGGCAGGGCAGCCATTGCTGGGCTGGGAGAGGGATGGGCCTGGCCTGATTTGGAAATTCAGCTGCTGCCAAATCTCCAAATCAGATTCAACCGAATCTACTCAGGACAGTGATTCACATCACTGAATCGAATCACAGTCCCCCGAATTGGCCGAATCCGAATTGAATACTACTAGCCACTTTGCACAGGCCTACTGAATATATGACATTAATTAGTCCCTTTCTTAGTCACATGTGAATAGTTACAGTTACCTTTATGCAACTGAGCTACATATTTAGAGGCAACCTGTTCTAAAAATGTATAATGTTGCCAATATAATGATTTACGACCTAGGAGTTGTGGTTTTTTTTAAACTTTCATTCCCACTTTGCAATGCATCTCTCATCTTTTCAAAGGCCCTCTGCTCCATTGGCTTCAAAACAGACTATGTTCAGTAATCTGGAAAGAGAACAGGTTTCACTTATTCTGCATTTTAAATTATCTCATTTTCAAGAACACAATAGTGCATAGAGTGTCCTTACCAGTCTCTGATATCCCTTGAATTAGGATGACCATGATAAACACAGGCTGTCAACTTGCTTAACTTTAAGCCCCACCATAACAAGTCAACCACAAGCAAGCCGGGCAGAAAAGCACCTAATCTTAATTACCTCTTGGTCTTAGAATAAATGCATTTTCCTGCACAACATAGCTGCTGTCTTGTCATCTCCCTTTGATAGCCACAAATGGAAATGAAGGGCCCTACAGTAGGGTTTTAGATTTTAAAGTGCAAATAATTCTAAACTGTAGTAAAGTGTCGTTGGTATTACATTGGGTTCCTGGCAACAGTCATAATTTCCTCCTTTTGAAACAGCTATGCTCTATTTAAAAAAATCAGAGTTTGAGCATATAATTCAGTCATGTTTTGTCTCAAGTACAATGGGGTGGCTTAATTCCTCCCACTATGGTATGATACTGTGTTTTTCTCTACAAACATCTTGCAGTCATTTCAGGAACTAGATTTGATAGACTCCAAAAGGGACCTACAAGCAGAGGCATCCATTCAACCCACCTATTTATGGTCAAAGTACACTGGAGCGAAGTGGGGGCTCTTACCACTTCAGCTAAAGAGGAACAGGAGCTGTGGCAGACCACTGCTTATCAAGGGAAAGGTCAAACAGCTGTGATCCCTGATCCTATTACCCTTATTCTGCCCATGCCAGTGGTATGAGAACATTTCCTTTGAAACTTGGGGGTAAGAGAAAATAGAAAAAGGAGAAGGGGTAGGATTCTCCTGGGGGGGGGGGTTGTTTTGTTTGTTTCTGCTGTAGCCTCTCTCCTGAGCGACATGTCTTCAGCAACATACAGCGATGGTGATGGCAAAAAAGTTGTACCTATATCACTTCTCAGGGGTCTAGTTTGACAAAGCAAATTATTGAACTATTTAGCTTTTCTCCAGTTCTGTAGGCAGGCATTTCTATTCATTGCTCTTAAATTGAGTTTTTCCCTTCTTCCTTTTCAAAATGTTGAGTCATCCACTTTCCATTTCAAGGGAACAGGAATTAACAATTCCTTCTAAAACTGATCTTATAGGCATTGTGCTACCAGGCTGGATAAAGTAGCAAGTTGTGTGCCAGCTTCCTAGTACTGCCACTGCCAAAGACTGGCCAGCTACGTTTTCCCTCATCTTTTTCTAACCTGCAAAGTTCAAAATCAGTAATGAAAATGAGTACTCTACGAATCCCAACTTGAAATCTGTGATATTGTATGCCTTCAAGCATACCATAAGCAATAAGATGTGATTGAGATCTGATCCCACAGTTGTACCTTCTGCCATGCCATAGGTGCATCAGATTGATTTCATTGTGCTTTTAACTGAAAGTCTGTCAGCAGCCTATGGTTTCATCATTACAACAAAATATCTTATCTAGATCAGCTTGCTATGGGATATTCTTACTACAGGAAATAGTAGCTCAATAAGTAGAAAGAGCTATGTTTACCTTCTCCATGTTCTGCTACAGTCACTCTTGTTAACAATATCGATATCAGTATCCCCTCTCCCAGGGTTATCTAAAACTGGTTTTACAGTTACGATGCCTAACTCAAATAATCCACAATGTTCCTGCACCAATAGACTGATGATGACCTCTCTTTTTTCTAATGCATTTTAGGTGAGAGACCCCTTCCAGATACATATTCAGAACATATGAGAGTAGAAGATAAAATTTGATAGTTTGTTTACAGCTGCCCAAGATACAAGAATTACGTTTTTCTTTTTCTGAAGCATAGCTGTAATAAGAGCTAGTGTTAATATTAAAACCCGACAGCTTCAAATCTCTCTGCTAAGTTACTGATATAAAACTGGACAATGAAATCCATCCATCAGCACTTTTAGCTGAGATTTGATTGGGCAAGAACTGGGTCAGGTTGACTTCCTAATTGCATAGAGAACTTGAACAGTCAAGCACAACTTTTGTGGCACTGAATGCCGTGCTACTCACTTGCCAGGAGTCCAAGGGCTGTAACTATGTACATTTCCATGACATAGTTTATGTCGATTTGTACTTCCCTATCATGCACTCAGAATATGAATCACAACCATAAAGTTGCATCTTTTGTGTTCACTTTTTTTCCCTCTCTCTCTCTCCCCTTCAAAGGGCAATATCATGTTTTTTTGATAGAAAGGAGTGACAAGAAGGGATAAGTGCTGTTAAGGTCTCTCCTATTCCTCTTTTTCCCCTCTACATGAAGACATACTTGTTCTACCATAAAAGCACCGCTTTGCATAATCCATTTCTAAACTGGACCAGAAAAAGGCACTCTTATTCTAGAATGTGTGCCCACATGGGGAAGTAGTCCGAAAAGGTTGCTTCCAGTCAGTTTTCCCATGCAGAGAAGGCCAAAGCTACTGATCTTTTCCTCACATGCTAGCCCCACACCTAGATAGTGGGCAGTTTTATTTCTACTCATGAGCCCTCAGCTGGAGGATGAGAAGCTGTAACTAGTGGACAGCTAGAGAAGTGCAGTGAAACTAGCTGGCAAACACTAAAGAGGATGGATAAAATGGGGGCACTAGTATCTATTTTCTCCCACCCTTTGTCCATCTTGTCTGCTTAGGTCAGGGCAGATTTGGTCTGTGCAGCCATATGATCCAGCCTCTGGATCTAAGACTGATCCCGCAGGCAGGCTGGACCCAGAGCTGCAGGAGCTGCACAGAATGCAGGGGGCCGGCGCAGGGTGTGCGCTGGATACAGCACCCTGCTGGAACGGCCCTGCATACTGGCTCAGGCCACACCATGTTTGATCCAGCACCAATTAGTGGTGAGAATCCAGGCCGTATGCCAGGTGCAACACGCACCAACTCCACTGCAGGGCTTGTGCTGCACAGCACTCAGAGTCAGTAGGGGACGTGTGCTGCAAGAGGCACCCCGCCAGATCAGCCCTCCACACTGGCTCCAGGGTTGGTTTGGATTCGTGCTCTAGTTTTATATTAATTGAAACTGGCACCTTTTGGACAATTTCCTTTAGCAAAATCTAACAGACTCCATCAGTATCATGATTATATTCCTATCACATAGAATAATGCAAAGTATTTGCAAGAAACTGCTGTTTATGTCATCATTTGCCATGCCTAATTACTTCATGAATATTTGCAATATCCCTAGTATTTTCCTTTTATGAAATCTATTCTTCCTGCACAAAACAATGTTGATAAGCAAAATATGTTTATTTGCTTTTTTTATCATGGAGGAAGTTGTTTTGGGTGATGGTCAAGACTGACTTATACAAACTATGAAATTTGTCTATTATATTGTTATAACAGGAAAGAACATACTTAATGTTGCCATTTCTCATTTGCATGGAGAACTAGAATTAGTTTGTGTTATGATAGGACTAGATAGGAGGAAGAAGAAATGCACAAAATTATAGTTTTAAAATTAAAATTATTCTAAATTTGAACTGACCAAATCAAAAGCTTAAAGAAAATAAAACTGGACTCGAGACATCCATATATTTACTAGTGAACATCTCCATTTTCTTTTCACCACATAAGCAAAAGTAATAAAGGAAAAAACATACTGAAAGAAATAATAAACATTACACCCATCCTTTCAAAAGCTGGTTAACTATGCCTTCATTTTGCTATAACTGTTAGCAGTGAGCAATACGATTATATAAAACTTTTATACTCTTTGAGAAGATAATTAGCGGGATTTCATAAGAGTAAGGATAAAAGTGTAGCTTAAAAGCACTGGACTGGAACTCAGGATCTGAGGTCACTATCTGATTGTACTAAGGATGCTCTGTGTGAGTTTGAATAATTAATCTAGCCAAGTTGCAGTTCCTCATCTGAAAATTGTGGGGGGAAGGGCAGGGGTGGCAGGAAATGCCCTGCCTCACTAGAGTGATGTAAACAAACTCATGGTATGCGACTGTCAAATACTACAGCAGGGAGGTATCTTGATATTTATGCATTGAGAATTTAACATACATGCTATTTTTCTGCTATAAATGGTTCTAATTTGAATATGCATATTTAGTAAATTAGCTCATACAGTTGAAGCCTATATTGCAGAGTTAGGTAAGATTAACTAAACTCATTGTTGGTATAAATTTCAGATTATCGAATAAATCTTGAAATTTGGTGCTCACTAACTTTTTGCTCATTTGTACATTTGCCAAACTGCAAATGATATCAAATATAGCAATTTTGTGAATCTCAAA